CGCCACGGCACGGCACGGGGGCGGGGGGCCGGAGTGGCGCTGGCGGGGCCGCGGATAGGGCGTTGTAGCCGGGAACTGGTTGTTGCATATCCTGCGATAAATTTAGAGGTCTGCGCGAACTAAACTTGGTAATGAAGCAAATCCTCGAATTTCCCACAAGAAGTATGCCTTCCATCATCAGGGGACCTCGCCGACGTGTCTCTTGGCGCATGTAATTGTTCAGGCCACTCCTGAGCTCAATCATAGCCCTCGGAGGCAACCGGAGACTACGCACAACTCACATTACCCATAAGTCACTGTTATCTATTCAAATTAAACCTTGCCAGGCACTGCGCAGACTACATGCAAATTCTGTCAGGCCTGGTCTATGCGCCGTTTGTCAGCCCCTGTCGTAATGCCATCCACGATTCCAATCACAGACCGCTTTGGACCATCCGTTCAATCGGCATCGCCTGTACGGAGCCATGTTTTTTCACGGAGTCATAATAGCTTGCTATGATGCAGTGGTCACGCATTGTCCGAATGTCCGGCGCTTAATCCGAAGGAAATCTATTAAGAACCGTTACGCCAATAATGCTATCTCCAGGGCGCACTTTGACGAGACTCATGTTAGTCCTGTGCCATTAGTTGGATTCAAAGTCGCAAAGTAGCATCTTTAGTGTACGAGCCAATTGCCACTTTCAGGTGCCACAGTCTCCTCCTTGGCCTCTTCTTTGTTGCCTCGACTGGTTTCAGCAAGCCTTCTCTTTTTCTTTTGGGGACGAGATCATTGGTCACGAGTCAACCGCGAAGAAGTCATGTTATGTAACAAAAGGTTTCGGTGTATCACCTATTGCTGAAGCCTGATGAGCTGAACCTGAGTTTGCTGGCAAGATCTACACATCAGACAAATAATTCCGCAACGCATCTACCGGAAGCTCCTTGCCAACGTAATTCGGTACCCGCTCAAACATCTCCCAGGACGTGTGCTTGAGGAGATGAATTTGATCCCTCACCCATGCCTCCACCTCCTCTTGGCTTGGCGTCTCCCCCTCGGCATCACGCTCATTGACTCGCTTGATAGTCAGGTCGCACCGCTCTCTAAGCCGCCAGAGCTTCTGGGCCATGATGGTATTTCTTCCCTTGACAAGACTGTCGCAGCGCAGGTTGAAGCTTCTCAGCGACGTGGCCGTGTCGTCCGCGTCCGGATCGAGGAAGTCATAAGAATTGACCAAGCTCAGACGTTCACCGCAGTTGCGCACTCGTATGGCCGAGTGCTCGAGATATCCGCCCGTCATCATGACAGCGCCGCCGACGGAAGCTCCTCTCACCTTCTTCATTCGCCCGTCGCCCATCTTGATGACAGTCTCGCCGCCGAGCATAGTAGAGGTATCGCTGAGCATGAGAACAATTACGACGGGGGCCATGTCTTTGTGCCACATATCAAGGACCTCGTCTTCATCTAGATCTCCTTCAGAGACCAAGTCGGCCGTACGAGGCTTGGGCTTCATCGGCTCCTCGGGCAGCTCGTAAGGGCTGCTGACTCCGCCGCCGTCGCCTAGCTGCACGTTGATGTATCCTAAGGCGACCTCGCCGCTCTGGAGTCTCAAGGCATGACCGTAGGCGCTGTTGACTGCAGCCTGGGTAACGGGATGATTCCATGCTTGCTTCAAAAAGACACCATCCTGTTATAAAACATCAGAATCACGAGCTTCTGTAAGATCTCATTCGGTCGTAATTTTGGAAAATACTTACCCCCTTGGAGTCGCCGTACCCACGGATAATGCAGTACTCCTTCTCTCCGTATGTCTTCATATACTTATCCAAAAACTCGCGTCTGAAGGCCTCTCGGCGAATCATCCGGATGCCCTCCTCTGAGAAGAGGTGGAAAGGCTCCGTGTAGCACATGTCAGGACATCCCTTCGGCACCGGGAGTCCGAGGTCTGTAAAGGTGTGGCGCCGGGTAGGAGGTTTGTAATCAAGATGAATGGCGGGGTCAAATGGGGGGATATAGAGCTCAGCTTCGATCTGCTCTTGTGTCATGGGCATCGCCTTGGCGAGCGGATCTGGGCAGCTGAGTGTCACGGTGGCCATTCTGACGATTCGAAGTGCTGCTACTTTGGATGTAGTGCAAGAGACTGCCGAAGAAACATTTGATAATTGCCAAAGTTGATGGGCTCATACATAGAAAAGAGAGGGTTCCGTCGTCAATTTAAAGTTTCGAACTCAGCTGATCTTCATAGCTGACGATGAAGTATCATAGGCCTCGAGAGGACCCAAGAGAGGACAGCCGTCTTTGGTCCAATCACAGGCCGAACGAATAGAAATACCTATAAGGGAATTTAAACATAATAACCTAGTCGTGAAAAGCATCCGAATTGAGCTTATCGTCTCGAAGTGTTGTCGTGTGATTCAGTCAGAGGGTCTATCATCACGTCCTCCAAGGACGCAAAGGCACATGTGGCCCGCATCGATCGACCGCAGCAAGGAAAACGTCCCGGTACAAACTCTGGCAAGATCCAAATTCATTGGTACAGCGTGCGCTTCGTGTATTACTGGCAATTCTATCCTTTTCCGGGATGAAATGCCGACGTACTGTCTCACCGCGAGACGATCTATCAGTTTGTTGGGCGAGTAGAAATACTCTCCAGCTCCTGAGCTTATCTTTTGCATGTGCACTAACCCATCAGACGGCAACCAACGTCACAACCCCAAGATAGGCTCAGAAATCCTTGTCGACTACGGCAAGGTAGGCAACAGGCCTCGTGCCGTCGAACCGGCCATACTTCGTAAGTCCTTCACCCTGAGTACGATTTGGTTGCGCGGATCGCGCATGACGTAGGACCATACGAAGGGGATATTTATTTGGTGACCTTGAATAGCCCAAGTAAATCTCCGATATTACTCCGCACGATAAGGCATGCCCCGGGGAAAGATACCTTGAACGGGGCTCCGAAAGCGGCCCCACAACAGGAGAGCCGATATCCATCTTGATAACAAAACCAATCACTTCTCCGCATCACTCGTTGTCATCTCTGGGCATCTTCTCATGTACATGGCGAGCATATATTTGACCAGTGAGTTACTCCGATTGTGGCTTGAATGATTTGAAAGAACCACCTCATAACCATTTGCCTCAGAAAATGAAGCATCACGTCGTTTGTCTGGATGCCGCAGAGGCTACCTTCCCGGATTTCGATTTCCCGCATACACGCAGTCTTTATGAACGCACACAGCCACACGAGGTTGCAGAGCGTATCAAAGATGCAACGATTGTCGTCACCAGCGTCGTGCCGATAACTCCGAATGACCTGGCCCATGCATGTCATTTGGAATGCGTTGCTATTGCCGCGACCGGGTTTGAGTGGCTTGACCGCGCTGCATTTGTCGAAAGACGCATCACCGTCTTCAACTGCCCGCAAAGCAATGTTGAGGCCGTTGGGGAGCATTTCCTGACGCTTTACTTCTCCGCCCGCCGAAAGGTTGTTGAGGTCCATGCTGCAATTACGAGTCCGGAAAAGGACTGGATTAGAGAGGGGTCTTTGACGCCTCGGTGGACACAGGGGCCGCCTTTGAGTTGCGAACAAGAGGTCCTGGGAATCATCGGATATGGAGCCCTCGGGAAGAGAATCGAAACTTTGGCGAGGGCCCTTGGCTTTGGCAAGGTCTTGATTGCGGATCGTAAGGGCGAAAGCAAACCCCGCGAAGGTAGAGTCTCTTTCGACGATCTCATCAAAAGAGCTACCACTGTCGTGGTTTGCTGCCCCAAGGGCCCAGAGACTATGTCCCTGATCTCGGACTCGGAGTTTCGTTCAATGAGAAAGGAGGCGCTTCTCGTGAACTTAGCTAGAGGTGGCGTCGTTGACGAGCAGGCACTAGCAACTGCGTTGAAGGAGGAGAGAATTTTCGGAGCCGCTGTGGATGTTTTCGAGACGGAACCCGGTGGTGTGGGAACTACCCCTCTTATCCCAGACATTTCGAACGGGGAGACAGGTGTGCCGAACCTGACTTTGAGCAGTCATGTTGCGTGGTTCTCACAGAAAACCATCAAAAACTTGCAAGATATGCTTAAACTTGGTGTCGAGAGCTTCGTTGAGGAAATCATCAACGAAGATCGCTGTAAGCGTCTGCTGGTAATTCAAAAGGGAGAGGTGAGGAAGTAAGACAGGCTGTTTCTTGATACAGACGATAGGGAAATACAGCCAAGACGATCAGCTAGGTGGCTCTGCCATTGCGCACAGATAATATAATTTCATCTTTTCTTGCGACTGCATCTCACTTGTAACCAACTCAAACAGACCTGAAGTGGCCAAGGCCAAAGAAACATGCATGATCAAAGCCGAGCTTTCCGTACCCAAGAATTGCGATAACATGAAGTGAAGTCAACGTATCCTCTCACCCCAGGATTCATCACTCCATGTGTCCAATGGCGGGGCTTATCTTGCATACGTGCTGATCAATCGAAGATGTTGATTGGAAGCTGGCAACCCTACATTATGTCATATCCTAGCCTGCGCAAGACGCCTATCTCAGGCGCCAAGGGTCAAGTCGTTAGAACCGAAGAGGCGATTTCATACTAAGCATACGATGTCAGCGGCCAAACATATCAACGCTTCTTGAAGGGGAACATAAAAATATATCTACGGGCGAATCCCCGTGAATTCGCTCTTTTGTGAATTTGATGGCCAGAGTCGAAGATTTGGTACATGTTCTTCCTCAACGGCTTCGGGTGAGTAGAACCATGACTACCAAGCTCCTGATCCCGTGTGACTTGCTTTTGACTCTCAGAATACAGATATGCCGTTGACTCGATGATATCCCTATTTCAGTCTGGTATCGCAACTCAGGCGTTCCGCGAGTTTGGAGAACATGGATAAGCCAACGGCCTGACGATTGCTAGCTACGTTGGAATGCTACTCGGCGCGCTGTTCTGGGGCTTCGGCGCCGACATCATTGGACGAAGACACGCTTTCAATGTTTCCATTCTTGTATGTTCAGTCAGTTGCATTATAGCCGGCGCCATGCCAAATTGGAAATTCCTGGGATTCTTCATTGCGATGGTTGGCTTCGGCGCCTGTGGCAGTCTCATCATGGACACGGCCGTCTTCCTGGAGTACCTTCCAAGCAGCAAGAAGTGGCCTCTCACCGCTCTGGCCTGTTGATGGGGGGTCGTTCATACAGTCGCTGGCTTCCTGACCTGGGGCTTCTTGGTTTCAAACTCATGGAACTGCTCCGATGGTGCAAGTTGCACCAAGGCTAACAACTGGGGATGGCGGTATACCATATTCACCGGCGGCGCCCTTGTCTTTGTCATGTCCGTGCTTCGGGTTACTGTCATCAAACTGGAGGAAACTCCAAAGTATCTGCTTGGTGTCGGCGATGAGTCGCCGTCGTAACGACTTTCCAATACTTGCCTACAACGTACAACCTGCCGTGCTCTTTGAACGAGACAGATCTTGCGGATTGCCGAACAGTCACCTCTGCCCATAGTAAGGAAGAACTTTCTGTTGGCGAGACCTTGCTGCACATCCGAGGCCTTTTCAGCAACAAGAAGATGAGCTTCTCGACGAGTGGCATCTTCCTGTCTTGGACCCTTATAGGCCTGGCCTATACCCTGAGGTGTTTTACGTTTTTCTTCCGTGAGTGGCAGCGTTTCTATCTCCAATTGATGTCTTGGAAAAGACTTGTTGACAATCATCAGGACATACCTTGCGAACAAGGGCGCCATCTTCCACCAAACGCAGTTTGAAACGTGGCGCAATTACGCCCTCACCAACATCAGTGGGATACCTGGTTCTATCGTTGCCGGTTGCATGTGTAACACGAAGCTCGGGCGCAAATTCGCCATGGTCATCGGTGCGATGATCACGATGGCCTTTTTCTCCGCCTACACGCTGTGCAGACCTCCATGCAAGACTTGACGCTGACTTGCGTTATTGCCTTCTGCATCAACATTTACTATGGAACTCTCAGCCAAGATACGCCTGAGGTTCTTCCCAGCGCCCACAGGGCAACTGGAAACAGTATTGCTGTTGCTTGCAATAGGATCATGGGAATCATATCTGCGGTGGTTGCAAGCAAGGGGAATACGGGCACCCCGGCGCTTTTGTACGTTTGTGCAGCTCTGCTTGTTGGCATGGCTGGAGTTTCCGTGTTGTTCCCGGACGAGCTCTATGGTCTCAAGAGTTCTTGAGACATGCTTTGGGGCAAAGAATACCAACCTTGAATTTCAGCAGAGACGAGAAGGTCGCCTTAACTTGCTACATCACGGACGCCTTCAGGTCCACTCGGCATTGCCCTGTTTTAACGGTTTTAGTAAGGTGTTAAGAGGATATGTTCCGGATAGCACGATCGTTGCATAACAGCTGTGGAGAAGAAATAATGAACGTCGGGATCGAAAATGTTGGCAATTCTTCAATCTCATGCATAGAAGAGATCCTGTCGCTTCTGACGAGGGGACCTTCGTGCATCGGCGGTGTCCAATTGTGGACACATCCCCGGTATTCGCACCACCCATTGGCCAATTCCCAGCCCTTTGCGACCGAGAGGGCATTGATCAGACCATGAAATGTTATGTACGTCGGAGGCCATATTGTTCTTGCGGTCGTCTCTGCATGTAAGTGGATCCTGTGCTGGAAGGGACAACAAGCGAATAGACCAACAGAGAGCACGTCGTCTCCCGGAGCACCGAGCTTTCCCTCTCTTTCCCCATCGTTTTTCTACGTATCAGTCTGGAGGATTTTGCCCCCACTTCGCCCTCCTCAACCGCGATTGCAATCGTTCAGCCTTTTACTTCAAATCTACGTTTCATCTCGGCAGTGAGCTTTCAATGCTGTGGTCTTCACATCATGTCTACTAGTGACACCCAAGCTGTCTCGCTTCCCGCCGGGGCGATCGAGGTCGCGGACGGGCCGATCGACGACTCCGAGTTCGACCTAGTTGAATGGGATGCCTCCTCGGTTGGGTCAGCGTCTCTGACCTCCAGCGTTCATGCTCATGAGTACGAGTTTGGTCGCCGATACCACAGTTATCGTCACGGACGCTATCCATTGCCAAACGACGAGGAAGAAAAGAGCAGAGAGGATGTGAAGCATGCGATGATGCTTGAATTGACGGTATTTCTCGCATCGGCCTCTTCATGATAATCGTCGTGACACGGATCTAACCTTCATGCAGGACGGCAAGCTGTTCTACTCCCCGATTGGAGACAACCCCCATAAAGTGATTGACATCGGAACTGGTACTGGTGAGTGATATCGGTATCAATCCTTCTCTTGGCATGACCATTACTGACAGCTCCATCCAGGTATTTGGGCAATCGAATGTATGTTTACTAGGTGCGGCGCGGAGACTGTGGATGATGAAGCCAACTGAGTTTCTGTTACAGTTGCGGATCAGTTCCCAACAGCGGACGTCTTGGGCATTGATTTGTCTCCGATTCAGCCTACCTGGATTCCACCCAACGTCAAATTCCTCGTTGACGATGCGGAGGATGACTGGCTTAATGGCGACGATTTCGACTTCGTGCATCTTCGAACTATGGCTAGTGTATTGAAGAATCTTGACAAGGTCATTGGCCAGGCGTATAAGTGAGTTGCAGTCCAATGATAGCGGCTCTTTTAGGCATTCTACTGACTCCTTATCAGTCACCTCAAGCCCGGGGGCTGGATTGAGTTCCAGGAACTCCATATTTACCCCCAATGCGACGATGGGACCATGAAAGAAGACGATAAGCTCAAGGAATTCTATGACATCGTTCTGCAGTCGTTTCTTTGTTTCGGGGCGAATTTCCACAAGGCTCGAGATCTAAGACCCCATCTTGAAGGTGCCGGTTTCAAGGACATCCGTCGCGAAGTCAAGAAGGTGCCCATTGGCACCTGGGCTAAGGATGAAATTCTCCGACTGTGTGGGCTGTATCTCAAGCATGCCATCAGAGACGTCTTGCCAGCCTTCAAAAAGCCGTTTGAAGCCAACGGGCTTTCGCCCGTGGAGACTGAGATGTGGACCGCAATTGCGAGGAAAGAGATTGAGGACAACAGCAAACATCGATACTTCAACTTCTACTTTTGGTACGCCCAAAAGCCGGAGAATGCGCCCGTACAGGACGATGGACCGGGTTCCTCAGGAGGCGAAGAAGCTTGAGAAGACTTTAGCATACGCGGCCAGGAGACGCGGAGCTCGATAAAGAAATGGCTTAGCCTTTGTTTGTCATTGTGCCTTTCTATTTCATGGATTTTGCGCATAAAGCAACAGCATAAGCAAAGAACGACTATTCACGTTTCCTAGTAGAAATGCCAGCTTTCATCTGCTAAGTAGCTATTATCTCAAGTAATGGATCCAAGCTATGTGGAGTTTTGATACTAGATGCTCTGTGGCTGGCCTGAGAAGAATGACCGGACAGCCAGTGGCAACAGTAATTGACGCGATAGGCACACATCAGGTCCAGCACATCGAACTGTAGTCCTTTAGATCTGAGAAAAGCTGCTCGAGGAATGTCCCTGTTGCTTTGATCATTTGTGAAGCAGTTCTCGCCTTTAAATGTAAAAGGTTCAAAGCTTGGATTTGGTTTATCAGCTGATTGAGGTTCTCCTTTGGATTGTTATGCGATTGTTGCAAATCCTTCCCACTGAAAAACATTAAACCTCCACCTCTTTGGTTCTCAAATCGATTCCTTGTTCTTCATATTAGGAAAGGTATGTGTTTCGTCAATGATATAGGCCCGAAACTTGCGTGCGGGAACACGATTCTCAAACAGGTAATCGATCTCCTCAAAGGTGCGGTCTCCAGTCTAAAAAACAGCGTGACATGTTAGGATCATGTTCATGTATGATAGCTGTGGAACTAGGCACTATTCGGGGAATGCAACGTACCTCTGGGAGACGGAAAAAGCTCCAAGCAAACGAGAATAAACTAAGCCCGCCCCACAGAAACTCGATCATGGCGCCAGCATTGGCGGACCCGGGATTCAATAGGTAAGGACCAGCAACAGTGATGACCAAGTATGACATTCCGTTGAAAGTGGCGGTGAGTGACAACGTCTTTGCCCGAAGTCTCGTCGAGGGAACTTCGGACGAAATGACATACGCCAACGGTCCAATAGTCAGAGAATAGACGAGTTGCATCGTGATCAAGATAGATGCCTGGGCCCAGGAATAGGCTTGGTTGGTTTTGTAGTCAGGGGCAAGACACATGAACGCCACGACCCACAGACAAGCAATGTTGTAGGTTAGGCCGTACATCCAGGCGCGTCGGCGACCGAACCAGATGATGGGAAACATGGAGCAGAAAACACCCACGAAACCAACACCATTGAGGCCGATACCCATGTTGAAGGCGGTTTCTGAACTTAGCCCAGTCTGCTCAAACAGATAGACCGCGAAGCCCACTGGGTTGCCCGAGAAGTTTTGGACGATGAAGACGGCAGAGGCAATCTCGAGGCGACGGAGATTGGGTCCCTTGAAACAATCCCGGAATGTAGCCCCAACCTCGAGCTCTCTCTCATAAATGTCGGTCTTAACCATCATGGCAAGCACATCGTGGTTGTGGGCGTGACACTGCTTGCTAGAAAGTCGATCGAGTGCCTTCTTAGCGTCGTCCAGCCGGTTCTGGCGAATCAGCCACCACGGCGACTCAGGACACCAGTAAAGGAAGGCGAGGATGAAGACAGGCCAAACCCATTGCAGGGCATATGGAATCTTGTATGCCCATACGCTGCTCCAGCTGACGAAGGCTCGTGTGATGCCTGTCTGGATGAACTGGCCCATCACATAGCACAAGCTGACGTACGCGATGAAGATTCCACGCAACCGCAAGGGCAGAACCTCTGACGCATATACAGGGGCTAGAACGTGGTAGCCACCCCATATAATCCCAGCAAGATACATGGAAACGGTGAGAACGGTGCGGTTTGGTGCAAAGACTTGCATGAAGACGAGGGCAGAAGTCATGATGAGGTAAATGGCCAAGGTCTTCTTCCGGCCCAAGGAGTCCATGGGTACAGCAGCAAGCCATGCACCGGCGACTTGTCCGACGATAGGGCCCATACTCATTGCCACCTGCCACTGGAAGGGAATCTCCATGCCATGTCCATCGACATGCTCGCCAAGGTGGTCTCGAAACGCCGGCAAGGCGTAGAAGTTTCCGGTAATTTCAATATCGTAGGCACGCATGATGATCGACATCGAAACGAGCATCGACCACAGAGCCGCTTTCTTGTAACGCCTGAGTGCTTCCCAGATTGTCAAATCGTGTTCTGAGAGGGTGGCCTGGATGGCTTTCTGCTCATCAGTGGCGTCGAGTTTACCGCCATCTTCCGCGGCAGCAAGCGTGTCGTGTTTGTGGTCGTCATCGCTGCAAGTATTTGCATGCTCCACCATGGATACCTCGGATTTGGGCTCCATGTTGGTGTTTGATCTGTGAAGTCAGATAAAATCGCAATTGTTGAAAAGCAATGTCGGGTTTAAGCACGACACATCGACAGAAAGGATGAGCTCCAGCTTGATGCTTTTATAGCGCATTGAACGACGGGATTAAGTGGTCACAGACAGGAGGAAAGTCGTTGTCAGGTCATTGATGGCCAGTCTGTGGACATGGCATCCGGGGAGAGGAAGGGTATACCTTGCCATACCCCATGGGGACCCCGCAGAATGTTGCGAATCCTTCAATCCATACCGGTGGGGTCCGCCATGAGGCCAAGACGCCGATAACAATGAAAGGGCTATGCGCCAGTGACGAATGTCCGGACGAAGTTACAAGCTAAACCAACGCGGCGTTACAGCAGCACGCAGATGGTTGGTCTGACAGGTGACTCATATGGAGAGATTGCCCAGAAGAAACGGTCGAGTTCCAGGGATCATGGCTTGGAGATGCGACGAGGATCGCGGAGGAGCTCCTCTCTGGTTCCCCTCCATTATTACCCGACGGCAAAATGATCTTCTCGGACATCATCTCCAACCCCACATGACACGCTGCCCAAAACATCGTTTCTATTACCAATTGATGCCCCATGTTACCAAGAAGACGACAACTGATCCAAACAAACCTGGGTAAAGGATACGTTGCCTACTTAAACCGGTCTCACAGATGACCACTTACTACCATGTAGGCTTACGAAGTCTTTCGCCCGGGAATTTATAAGAACTGTGCTCGTTCGAGGTTTCTCATATTATCTCTAAAACAAGAACAAAACTCACT